CAGAGCATAAACAATCAAAAAAACAGCAAATTGGCTGGAATGTTCAGTTAAAGATGCTATTGACATGATTGAAAACTGTTATGAGAACCCTTGAGTTAATGGATAAAGAGTCAAGAGCATGAGTCATCAGCTGCAGCATAATTTCAAAGACACTGTACAGTTACGATTATGAATATGGCTTGGTAGAAATGTAGAACATAAACTCCAAAGGATTTGGGAACAGCCAGAGGGAATTTACCAAAGCATTCAAGAACAGAAGTGTTCTTCAAAATCACTGCCACTGTAAATATTCTCATAACAATATCAGTGATTGTGAATAAGATCGGAATTTTAACAGCGATGAATAATTTGACAGTTAATAACAACTCAAGTATCAAAAAATAAAGTACTTACTTATGGACAATTGGACAACATAGAAGTCAAAATAATTGTCTTTATCAGGAATAGATTAAACAAGAGCAGTGCTCCAAAGAAAACAGATGAAATCATATTAAGAAAAATCAAGATGCCATTTGCTGGGTAAGTATGAAACCTAGCATTGTGAGATTAATGAAGAAGATCACCAGCCTGATTGGAAAACTGAACAACTAAAGAATGAACATCGTAACTTGCCAGGGATAAAACTTGATATTGATCAAACTAATCAAGCAAAACACAGTCGTGGTGCAAAGTTATTTATCTGTGTAGATGAGAGCTGGAGAAGAAGTTCTTCCCTTTAGGATAACATTCCTCTGTTTTACAATTCCTATAATCTCATTGGTCATTCTTTCATCTTTTAGGCACTATCCCATTTGGGTATTTGGGTTATCTTCTCAATACAAAGCTAAGAATGAGCATGCCACTATACAGAGTTCCCAAACATTCATAATTATTACCTTAGTATTGTATATACTGATTTCAAATTTTATTCTCTGATTCCTCTTAAAATCACAATCTTGACAAGACTATACTTTGCATTCTGTGCAGTCAAAATGTTCTGATTAATTTTTTAAACCATCCACCTGACATTTTTAGCAACCTGATAACAGACCTCCTTTTTATTGCAATTAAGGACCACTTGTTACTCGGGCCAGTGAATAGAAAAGTGGGACCAGGAACCATAACGTTAAGGCTCTTTCCTACAGGTTACACTACATTTTCCAATTGAATGGTACTTTACACAAGCCCAATTTCCATGAAGCACAAAGATGTATTCTTGGCGATTGCTGGAAAAACTCAGCAGATCTGGCAGCATCAGAACCAGTTCGGAGGAAAGGTCACTCAACCCGAAACATTAACTCTGATTTCTCTTCACAGATGCTGCCAGACCAGCTGAGAATTTCCAGCATCTCTATTTTTGTTTGTGATTTACAGCATTCACACTTCTTTTAATTTTTACTTAGGTGTATTCTTGGCATTCTTTTTGTCGAGGTTCATCGTGAGCAGCTCCATGACATGGGACTCTACGCTGTTGGGTCTGCTCCCCAGGACACACACACAGACAAAAATTGACTGTACCTGGACGGCCATCAACTCACTGAAAGACTTCGATCTGCCTGAACCTTGTTGGTCTTCCAAGGCAAGGAGTTAACCCTGACTGAATGTTGCAGGCTGACACATTTCAAGGTCCAGGACTGTCCGCTGAGGGATGCACTAAAACTTGGGACAGCTGCCACCAAGGCACACTGGGGAAAAGACCACTGTTTAAGGTCTTTCTGCCAAAGTTAAATGGGGGTCCTTTCAATTATTCTTGTAGAAGAAAGAAATGCCTTGGGTTTGTTTTCTAGATAGATTCATAGAGTCATATAGCATTAACAGACCCTTTGGCCTAACCAGTCTATGCTGAACATAATTCCAAACTGAACCAATCTCACAGGTTTTCCAAGATTACAAACGGATCTTGATCAAATGGGTCAACGGCCTTAAAAAAAATGGCAGGTAGCGTTTAATGCGGGGATGAATGCGAGGTATTGCATTTTGGTACAACAAACAGGGGTAGAACCTTTATAATTAATGATCGAGCCTTGTGTAGTGTTGTAGAGCAGAGGGAGCTAGGAGTTTAGGTACATAATTCTTTGAAGCTTGCATCACATGTGGACAGGATGGTTAAAAGAGGTGTTTAGCTTGCTTGTTTTCATTGCTTAGTCCTTTAAGTATAGGAGTTGGAAAGTTATGTTGCACAGGACATTGGTGAGGCCTCTTCTGGAGTTCTGCGTCCAGGTCTGGTCGAACTCCAATGTTTGTTTGTTCTACATTTGCTACTGTACAGAATCAAACTGCTGCAGTGACTATGCATATAAAGATATTTTCATGACTAAAGTCTATTTTTGAAATAAAAAACAGTATTCGCAGCTTTGTTCAACAGACATTATATTTCCAGAATCTTGGCTTCAGGCTTCCATTGGAATCTCCAAAATAACGAAAAGATAATCTTCAGCTTATGACAGAAAAGTTACACTGGATTTATTATAATCACTCCTTGCACCCCAAACAAGATAGTGGCTCCACAACAGTAACTATCAGTTCCAACACTAGCAGCCTAACCTGTTTCTACTTTGATACTATGAGAAGATATTGCCAATTACCTTTGGCAACAGATTATGGTTTGGTGGAAGAAAACCGTGGGAACCAGTCTTCACGGATGTAATGACCTTGGTTTGTGATGTTAGAGGCCTAGCAGGCAGCCTCATGAAAATAATTTCTTGTAATGTTGCAAGAATTTGAAAAATTGAGAAAGAGGTCTTCTTATGTTACACATTCTTTAACATACAGAAATATAGTATAAAACAGTGCCACACAACGACTAAGAGCTTTACAAGCTGGAATCTTAAAATTATAAAACATATTTTTGGTTCAAAACACACTATTATTTTCCACTCTAAATGTCTCAGCAGCAAAGGACTTCATTATTAAATTCAGTAATAACATATCTAGTTATTAGAAAGAACACTGTTTCTGAAAAACTTTTAACATCACCACGAAAGAAAGGCCTGCCTCATTTTTGTGTTTATAGTCTGCACATATTCTCAAATATTATGCAAATTGTAAAATTTCAAAGAGCCAACAAACATGGAACACTTAATCCATTAGCCAACAGTTCTGTATACCTTAGAAATGTGTGTGCAAGAGCACTTAACCTACAAGAGAAAGTATTCAGGTAAGTGGCTCCTTACTGCTACAGTGACTACTTGTTAACTGGACAGAAGTCTAGCCTTGTGCTAAGAAGAACATAAATCTTTGTTGCATCCAACTGGGGAGGTTGTAAAGAGGACTGTTGATTCACCCCACTTCACCTTGAAGCAAGTTTGACACTTCCTCCCCCAGTTATTCTTTGTAGTTATGCACCCAGCTTCAACTTTCATTTAAATCCTTTCCAATTTCTAAACCTAAAAAAAAATAGTATAAGAAACACAAGAGACTTCAGGGTTACCACTAAGTGTACAGGAGAACTGGGTCATGGAAATGTACGTTGTGATAATGTTAGGATGGTGGTTCAGGGGTCTAGATGCACAGGGTAAATAAGTGATAAAGTCTATATAATGGGAGCATGGACACTTGGAGCACTAGATAGTTTGGTCTTGTATAATGGGAGGTAACCCCAGGATGTGATATCTATATGTGATATACTAACAGTGATATGATGGGAAAGTGGTGCTGTAATTTAGTAGTGATGGGTGGGTAGACTTGGATTGGAGAAGCACTGAAGCATTTGAAATGATTGCTGTGAACAAAACTAGTGACTAGGGGAAAAAGTGACTCAGAACTGTAGGAAAGATGGAGGGTGCCAATCATATATGACAGCAATATCTGTAAGTACCCTTAAAATATACAGGTCTTAACGTGTTGGTGAAATGCAATCCCTAGGGCAAGCAGTCTCCATTTCCAATTTTTTGCACTAAATGTTGCAGTATCTTTTTCTCACGTCTTCTGTTGAGCTGTCGCACACTTCACAAATCTCTCTCAGCCTTGCCGTTTTCTCACTGTCTCTCTGTTCAAAATATACCTGGGAGATAGTGAGAGAGCAGCAGGGGCCAGAAAATAACTTGAATGATTGACGCATCTGTGATACCTGTGGAACTGGAGATGGGAACTGGGACATTGAAAGGCAATTAAACTGTATTGGAAAATAAGAAAGCACTGTGATGGATGAAACAGTCAATTCTATCCAAGACCTAAAAGTCTAAGGAGGGGTAAGGCATTCATGTTACAATTACAAAGGATATTATTTGAGAGTTGGATTTTGACACCATGGTTGGAATAAAAACACGATGGAGTGATTGAAGTATGGAACACAGAGGAGTCTATAGAATTAGACAAAGGCAACAACATACATCACAGGTACACAAACAGCTATGGGGACATGATGAACAGCAGGATGTGGGTGGAAGTTGACTAGGGACCACTTGAGCAAATTAACCATTCACAGTGTAACTAACATGGGAGCAAAGAAAGTTGAAGTGGTCCATAGTTTGGTGGGATTGGGCTGTGTCTCATGGACAGCATTGCTCAGTGAGATTATGAAAGAAGATAAGAGAAAAATAGTTTCTGGTGGTGGTCAGTGGAGCGAGACATTTGGTGGCTGAACTAATTGAATCATTTAGTATAAGCAAGAGCATTAAATATGAATTGTTTAAGGAAATAGATGATAAGCAGAATACATACTAACTAAAAATATGCATTTGTTAAAATTCGCATTGTTTAGGATATTTGCGAAATCAGTGCGCACAGAGCCAGAGACAGAGACAATCTTATTATGTCCTAAGCCAAATGGTTTTGCTTTTGAATGCTCAACTCATTGCTTAACCTTTGTTCTATGCCCTAGCAATGATTTTCTTATTTTATTAAATGTTCACTTTATAGGTTTCCCTAGGATAATTGAAGGTGCTATAGGATAAAACAAGTAGGTATTGAGCTGAGATTTGCCACGTAACAAAATTGTTTCCTAGTCAAATGAAATACAGTGCAATATGACCTGATTATTTGAATCTAACTGATTATGCTTTGACTTAAAAAGTACTCACTGTATGTAAAGTATCTTCCAGCAATGCTGAATTCACTTTAACACTATTCCACTTTAAATTCAACTCGGACTTCACATAATCTGTAAAAGAATTGTGAACTCTATTAAAATATATTTAACTGTTCCCATTTTAACTTACATGATATGCATATTATACATGGTTTATTCTATTTACCTTTTAATGTTCAGCTGCAATGGTTGAAGAAATGCATTTTTAATTATCAGTGGGTCAAATTATTGGAATTCCCTATGTAAAATCAATGCGACAACATCTTTATCATACCAACTACAGAAATTCAAAAAAACCACCATAACCTTCTCAAGGATAACTAATGATAAGCAATAAACATCAGGTTTTTAAATAAAAGGCACATCCTTTAAATTAATAGAGCAAGTTGATAATTTTATTGGTGCTACCTAGATAACTTTGAAATTGAATTGATCAGTGTTGTCACTTGCTACAATGTACGTTCTATTTTAATTCATGTAATCTACCAGGCCAAGATGCATACTATTACACTTGCCACGCACGAAAACCGACACACACTCAATCTGTGAGTTACCCTCAATCTAATTAATCAGTTTGAATGCAGACCTTTATTATTATTATGCATTGGAAATGGTGTGTAGACCAAATCATAACTGCAAACACTGAATGAACAGAAGTAAATCTGTACCCCAAAGAAGTGTAAGAAAGGATACAAAACTTAGTATCATAAATTAATAAAACAAGTTAGAAGAACTTAGCATTACCATAAACACTTATAGAACATAGAACAGTACAGCAGTACAGGCCCTTCAGCCCACGATGTTGTGCCAACCTAATATCCTACTCTAAGATCAAACTATCCTGAATACCCTACATTTTACTCACATCCATGTGCCTATCCAAGAGTCGCTTAAATGTCCCTAATGCATCTGACTCCACTACCACTGACGGCAGCGCATTCCACATGCCCACCGCTCTCTGTGTAAGGAACCTATCACTGACATCTCCCCTATACCTTCCTCCAATCACCTTTAAATTATGCCCCCTCGTAATAGTCATTTCCACCCTGGGAAAAAGTCTCTGGCTGTCCTCTCTATCTGTGCCTCTCATCATCTTGTACACCTCTATCAAGTCACCTCTCATCCTTCTTCACTCCAATGTGAAAAGCCCTAGCTCCCTCAACCTTTCCTCATAAGACATGCTCTCCAGTCCAGGCAGCATCCTGGTAAATTTCCTCTGCATCCCCTCTAAAGCTTCCACATCCTTCCTATAATGAGGCGACCAGAACCGAACTCAATATTCTAAGTGTTTAACCAGGGTTTTATAGAGCTGCAGTATAACCTCGCGGCTCTTAAACTCAATTCCCCTGTCAATGAAAGCCAAAACACCATACACCTTCTTAACAACCCTATCAACTTGGATAGCAACTTTGAGGGATTATTGGACGTGGACCCCAAGATCCCTCTGTTCCTCCATTCTGCATTCAAATTTGACCTTCCAAAATAATCACTTCCCACTTTTCCAGGTTGAATTCCATTCGCCACTTCTTTGCCCAGCTCGGCATCCTGTAAATTGTAATTACATCATATCATCCTAAAACACTTCTGAACCCATTTCTCTGCAAGCATTTTAAGTACAGCAGTCAGAAAAAATGTTCAAACTCAGATTTAAAAAAAAGTCAGATAGTATGCACACACTTGTAAAAACATTAGGGTCTATCATAAAGAATGTAATAGCAGAGCACTTGAGAGGGGAAATCATACCTGACAAATTTATTCTAAAAAAAAATTTTAGGAGGTAACATGGTGTTGTAGGTAATATTTTAGTATGGATAGTGAATTTGCTAACTAATAGAAAACAGACAGTTGGGAAAACGAGGGCATTTTCAGATGGCAACCTGCAACTACAGAGATCAGAATTGTTCACTACATATATAAATTATATAGATGAGCGAAACGAAGTACTATTGCAAAATGACACAAAAATAGATGGGAAGGCAAGTTGTGAGGATGACAGGCTCTGCAGAGGAATATAGACAAATTAAGCGAGTGGGGAAAATCTTGCCAGATGGAATACAAGGTGAGCAAATGTGACATTATGCACTTTGACAGGAAGAAGAGGAGCTGAATATTGTCCTCATACATAAACCTCAAAAAGCTAGCATCCATGTTCAGCAAGTAATAGGAAAGCCAAATGGAATGGTGGCCTTTATTTCAAAAGGGAATGGAATACAGATAGGTAAATCTTGGTAAAAACGTACAAGGCCTCCATCATCTATACTACCAATAACCTAAGAAATAGGAGTAGAACATTCATGACAAAGTTTCCCCATTATTTAACACCAAAGCTGATCTGTCCCATGCCTCAACTCCTCTTTTGTAGCAGTTCCTCATATCTCTCAACACTATTTCAGATATCTAACCACATCTTCTTTAAATACTTTCAATGATCTTGTCTTCAAACTGAGGTAGCGAATCCCAGACACTCACTATTGTCTGGGTGAAGAAATTCCTTCATATCTCAGTTTTAAATGATTGTTCCCTTGACCTGTAACCATGGTTCCTAGAGTCAGAGAGTCATACAGCATTGAAACAGGCCCTTTGGCCGATCATGTCTGCGCTGACCAACAAACACCAAACCACACTAATTTCATTTACCTGCAGGTAGTCCATAGCCTAATATGCCCTGGCATTTTAAATACTCATCCAGATGCTTCTTAAATGTTGAGAGTATTTTGCCTGCACCACCTCCTTGTTTGAGGTACCCCGACTCGTGGAAATATCTTCCCAAATCTACCTGTCACGGTCACTCTTCATTCGTCTAAAATCTGTTGAAAAAAGGCCTTACCTATTTCGCTATTCTTAATAAGCCGACCTTTTCATCCCAAGAATCAGCTTAGTGTATCTCTTCTGAACTGCCTCCAATACTAATACATCCTTTCATAAACACAGGGACTGTGCCACCCTACTAACACACTGTACAGTTATAACAATGCTTTCCTACTTTTAAACTCCAACCCCCAAGTAATAAAAGGCCAAAATTCCATTTGTCTTTTTATTTACTTGCTGCACTTGCAAGCGAACATTTGTGTTTCATGCACAAACACCCAGATCCCTCTGCGCTGCACTGTTTTCTTTTCAGTCTCTGCCCAATCAATTAATAGTACCCTTTTGTTTCTTCCTCCCTCATACTTTACTACATTAAAATCTAAAATAAAGAATTCTGGATGCTGGAGTTCTGAAACAAAAACAGAAATTGCTGGCAAAACTCAACTGGTTGAGCAGCATCTGTGTGGAGAAAGCAAAGCTTATGTTTTGAATTTGTTGACTCTTCATCAGAACTCAGATAGGCAGGCAGAAGTTCTGAAGAGTCACCAGACTCTGTGCTTTCTAGTCACAGATGCTCTCGGCCTGCTGAGTTTTGCCAGCAATTTCTGTTTTGTTTTATTACATTAAACTCCATCTGCCAAGTTTTGCCACCTTATGCAACCTACCTATAACCCTTTACAGATTCTTTACCCCATACAATATGCCCTTACACCTAGTTTGTATCATCAATATATTTAGATAAATTACACCCTACTCCCTCCTCCAAGTCATTAATATAGATGATAAAAGCTGCGTCCTGAGGATTGGTTTCATACAGTTATAGAGTCATACAGCATGGAAATAGACCCTTCGGTCCAACAAGTCCATGCTGACCAAGTTTCCCTGACTAAACTTGTCCTATTTGCCTGTATTGGCCCATATCTTTCTAAACCTTTCCTGTTCATGTACCTGTCCAAATGTCTTTTTAATGTTGTTACAGTACATATTTCCAACCTGAAAATACCTGGTGATCCTGACTCTCTGTCTTAAAAAAAATAGAACAGTATAGCACAGTACAGGCCCTTTGGCCCACGATGTTGTGCCGAACTTTTACCCTAATCCTAAGGTCTATCTAACCTCCACCCCTACCTTATACTATTGTCCATATGCCTATCCAATAGCCGCTTAAATGCCCCTAATGAGGCCGACTCCACTACCCTCTTGTGTTAACCAATCCCCACTCTATGCTAACACATTGCCCACACTGTCGCAAACTCCTAACTTGCACAATGACATAATGTGGCACCTTATCAAATAACTTCTGAAAATCGAAATACACTGCATGTACCGTTTTTCCCTTAAAATCAACTCATATATTTTCACTCTTAAATATTTTCAAAGAGCTCTGGTCAATTTATCAGACATTGATTTTCCCTTTGCAAATCCACTCTTGATTGTGTAAAACCTCTCTAAATTTTCTGCTATTTCTTCCTTAATAATCAATTCTAGCATTTTCCTAATGTTAGACATTAGGCCAACTGACCTATAGTTTCCTGCTTTCTGACCCTCCCTCTCTTGAATAGGAGCATCACAATAGCAGATTTCCTGCACAATCCTTTGTTCAGTTTCTCATGTGTAGAAATCCATTGAACTCAGACTCGAGTAATCAATGGCTGAGCCTCCACAGCCTTCTAAGGCAGAGATTCATTAGGATTCTCCACACTCTGAGTGTGGAATGACACAGAATGCAAGTCAAATTAAAATAATCCTCAAAAGGTTGACTTTTATTGAGTCTAAGACTCAAAGCAAAATGATAGCATAGTACAATCAACCAATAATGACAGCCAAAAACATGCCATAACTCATGCAAATGCAGGCTATGTCACCTTTTAAAGTTTTCACATTCGCTTTAGGCTTTCACATCATTTTGAATTTTCAACATCTTAATACTTAGTTTAAGAAGATCCAAAGCCATATAAATGGTTGCAGTACTGACCTGGCAGCCAGAGATGCATGCTCAAATCCCACCAGGTCAGCAGTGAAACCAAATTCAATAAACTTGTTGGATTATTATAAAAGCCAATGTGGCTCACCAACATCATTCAGGAAAGACAGCATGCTGTAAGCAAGACTAACTGAGCATGCAGAGGACGGACTCCATCAATGGGCAGTGCTGACAGAACATGGGGCATACAGACCACAACTGCAAGGCAGTGCCGTAGCGCTGATGTTGCTGGACTAGCAATCTAGAATTCCAAGCTAATGTTCTGGGAACATGTGCTCAA